CAAGATAGCGATAATATAGCCATAAGCTAAGCTAAGCTATAGATATTAATATACTGAATAAAACCCCAATTGTCAGAATTAAACTAATCCTGTGTTTTTACTTGGTCGTCGAGGTAACAATACAAATTCGTTGCAACCACACAATTTCCCGCTTAGTCAGCCCAGCACAGGTCACACGACCGGAAAAAGGGTTCGTTACAACTGGCTCCCAACGTGGGACCTCACGACCAAAACAAGTAAAAAAAACTTAAGGAAAGGTGGTCTGATAGATCGAAAAGGGCACGATGGGAAAAGGACAATGGATCCACAATTTGAAGAAAGAGGAGCTGGTGCAATGCGCTCAGGCGGTTGGCGTACGATTAGAGGGGACGCTAGACGAAATGAGGAAGGCGTTCAAAGAGTGGGTTAGAGAACATGGCGGAGAGCCAGAGTATGCGGATCTAGTGGAGGTCTGGGAGTGTCGGGAGAGCAGAACGTCGCCGATGCCTCGGGCATGCTGACGACAAGCCAGCCGCGTATGAGCAACTCGCTCTGCCGCAAGGGAAGGCATCGGCGGCGGCGCTATGGAAGTCCCCGGCTGAGTTTCAGCAGGAGCTCATGGCGAGCCTGGCGGTGCCCGAGCGGTCGGTCACTCCGACACCCAGCCGGCATCGACAGGCAAGCCGAGACCCGGAAAGGGGGATCCATGAGCCACAAGGCCCACGGCCGGCACACCTGGACTACGCTAAGGTGACCAAACAGGTGAGAGAGTGGTCGTTCCGGTTCGACGGAACGACGAAGCCTCTCGAGTTCTTGGAGCAGGTCGAGTGGTCAGCCGAGACGTACGGGCTGGATCCGGACCTGATCCCAAGGGCGATGCCGGAGCTCCTGAAGGGGCGGGCGCTGATGTGGTTTGTGGCCAACAATCGGCAATGGAAGACGTGGAAAGACTTCTCCAGAAGCTTCCAAGCGTATTTCCTGCCAAGAGGATATTTTGAGAAGCTGCTGCAGGAGGTGAGGGTGCGGAAGCAGAGGTGGGGAGAGCCATTCAAAGACTACATGGTGGAGATGCAGACTCTCATGAGGCCCCTGAAGTGCCCACAGGAAGAGCAAACGGATCTGATAAGGGAGAATAGCATGCCGGATCTGAGGGCGTACATGCGACCGCATAGATGCCGCGATTTGGAGTCAATGATGGCTTTGGCAGACGAATTGGAGGCACTAGAGAGAGATCGCGAGGAGTTCCAACGGGAGAATCCGGTCATAAGGGCACGAGCCGCTAATCCATTTAGCAAGCCGGCGGGAGCAGAAGTGTGCCGTCAGTGCACAGAAGGGCCGACCACGACAAGAGGAGAAGAGGGGACGCGGTCAGCGTTGCCGCTCAGACGGCGGCTGTTGTGAACGGGTACGTTCAGAACCCGGCACAGGCATGCAGAAGGTGTGGGAGCGGGGAGCATTGATCAAGAGAGTACCAAGCTCGGCCCCTCACGTACTGCTGGATGTGCGGGAAGGTGGGAATTTCGACGCGGGAGTGCTGCCGGAAGGCGGGAAACGCCCCGCGACCCAAGCCGCGGAGGGCCGTGCCCGGGTCGCAAGAAATCGCCCCTACAACCTAGTCGGAGGACTGAGAAGCGAGGAGGCCCAGCTGTCAGCCACGGGCCACAGGAACCACCAGAAGCTTCATCAGCTGTGAGTTGGCCGAAAGGTGAAGGGGCGGGGGAGAGAGGTTCCGGTGAGAAAGCGAGTGCGGCTGGCAGATGGCCACAGCCAGGAGGTGACACGCCAACTCAAGGTGAAGGTGGCATTCGGGAACCAGGAGATTGAGATGGCGCTGCTGATTTTGCCAGGAATCATTGATGAGTTGGTGTTGGGCTGGGATTTCCTCCGAGCGGTCGGGGCAGAGATGACCTGTGCGGGCCACAGGGTGCTGATTCCTGCCCAAGATCGAGTGCGAAAAGGTACGGAAGAAAGGCTGTCGGTAGCAGTAGTGGAATACTCAGACCGGGAGGAGGAAGAGATCCGAGCTGGAGCAGCGGATTTGATCCCAGTAGAAGCCGAGACAAAAGGGGGCCAGGAAGAGTCAACGGAAGAGTTCTTGGCTCGTGAGTTGGAGGGAGTTGCAAAACTCAAGGGAGTATCTAATGTGGCGGTGCATACGATCACCATGAGTGATCCGCAACCGATTAAACAGAGATACTACCCGAAAAACCCCAAGATGCAAGCAGAGATAAATCGAAAGCTTTTAGAATTGGGGTGCATCGAACCCTCAAAGAGCCCGTACAGCTCACCAATCGTGATGGTGAAAAAGAAGACTGGCCAGTGGAGGCTGTGCGTGGATTTCCGCCAGCTGAACGCGAAATCAGTGAAGGATGCGTATCCCATGCCCAGGATCGATTACATATTGGACCAGCTCAGGGAAGCCCGTTTCATAAGCAGCTTGGACTTAAAGGACGGATATTGGCAGATTCCGCTGGAAGAGCGAAGCCGGCAGGTCACCGCATTTATGGTGCCCGGCAAGAGGCTGTACCAATGGAAGGTGATGCCGTTTGGATTGCACTCCGTGTCGGCCACCTTTCAGCGGGCCTTGGATCAGGTGATCGGGCCCGAGATGATGCCACACGCGTTCGCGTACCAAGACGATATTATTGTCATTGGACGAACAGAGAAGGAGCACAAGGAAAATCTGAAGGAGGAACTGCGATATCTGGGCCACAAGGTGACGGTAGATGGAATCTGCACCGACCCTGAGAAGGTGGCGGCAAAAGCCGAACTAAAACCCCCTGCAAACGTGAAGGAATTAAGCCAGTACTTGGGGGTGGCCACGTTGCTAAAGAAAAAGACCAAATGGGAGTGGAGTGAAGAACGGCAGGCGGCGTTTGAAGCGGTAAGAAGTAGGTTGGCGGCCGACCCAGTGTTGGCGTGCCCCGACTTCACGAAAAAGTTCGTCTTGCAAACGGATGCCAGTGATTATGGATTAGGGGCAATCCTAACACAAGAAACGGACAGGGGTGAGCGGGTGATCTCCTATGCCAGTAGATCGCTTGAATGCAGCGGAGAGGAATTATTCGGCTACCGAAAAGGAATGCCTCGCCATCGTCTGGACCGTTAGGAAGCTCAAGCCATATCTGGAAGGGTATCGCTTCAAAGTGATCACGGATCACATGGCTTTGAAGTGGCTGAATAGCATCGAGAGCCCAACGGGAAGAGTCACGAGATGGAGCCTGGAGCTACAGCAGTACGACTTCGAGGTGACGTACCGGAAGGGGCAGCTGAATGTTGTGGCGGATGCATTGTCTAGGCAGCCCGTGGCCGAGCGATGCCTGCGGATAGAGGATGAAGAAGGCAATAAAGTGGAGCCGGATATCGGCGAAGGGTGCCGATGGATCCGAAAAGTGAAGGAGAGGATGAAGAAGGAACCGGAAAAATTCCCAGATTATGTAGAGGAGGTTGGTGGAATTTACAGAAACATTCCCCACCGAGCCGGAGACGAGGAGGTGGCGGCGGGGAAGCTGTGTATCCCCACGAGTCTACGGGAATAGGTTTTAAGGGAGAATCCTGACTCCCCAGGGGCTGGGCATTCTGGCGGTCGGAAGACCATGGCACGAATTGCCGCAAAGTATTATTGGCCAGGGATGCACCGGGACGTAAGGGCATACGTGAGGAGGTGCGAAACCTGCCTGCGTTTCAAGTCAAGCCAGATACGGGCAGCTGGGAAAATGTTGACCCAGGTCCCAGAAGAGCCATGGGCAACAGTGTGTGCGGACTTCGTGGGACCTCTGCCGAGATCGAAGCATGGGAACGCAATGCTGTTGGTGTTAGTGGATCGTTTCTCCTCCCTCCTTAGGTGGGAGTCCAGAAATCTGGAATAATACGGACTACAGCCACATTCGGCAGAGCTAAGTTATTGATAGATTTAGCTTTATATGCATTACATTACACTACATTTAACATTTTTATACCCGGTACTCGAAGAGTAAATAGGGTATATTGTATTTGTGCACAAAGTGAATGTATGTAACACACAGAAGGAAACGTTTCCGACCACATAAAGTATATATATTCTTGATCAGCATCAATAGCCGAGTCGATTGAGCCATGTCTGTCTGTCTGTCCGTCTGTCCGTCTGTCCGTCCGTCTTGTTGAGCGCCTAGATCTCAGCGACCATAAAAGCTAGAGCCACCAAATTTTACATCCAGACTTTTGTATGCTCACACTGTTACAAGTGTAAAAAAATGAGCCACGCCCCCTTCCGCCCCCGCAAAAGGGCGGAAACCTCCCAAATCTACAATTTTGACGATAACATAAATCTAACGCCATTCTGTAGGGAATGACCATATATATCAGATCACCAAATTGGGATCCGAGTGGATCATTATTATAGCCACAATGAAGAAATTAATTTGCAGTGGCTAAACCCACCCCGTTTATATTTGTTTTTTTTCACATTCTCTCATTCACATTCTGCTTCTACAGTATGTGCCCTTTTGCGCTGCCTCTGCCGCGAACCTGCAGTGTGTGGGTCTAGGGAAGGGCGGCGAGCTAAGGGAGCGTGTTGGTGTGAGAATTGTAGTAGATGTAGATGACAGATGAAGAAAATATGTAAAATTCACAAAACACCGCTAAGGTGCAGATGTAGTACTGAGTGCCGGGTATAAAAGTTTTGACGCGTAAGAAGCGTCTCACACGTCCCTTCTCGATTTTTACTTAGGTATATCATCTAGAATCATCTACGGAATTGCGTTTTTAGATTTCTCTTATCTTCAAAAGTTAGGATAAAGCAGATTTTCGCCTATTGTGGGGGCTGTAGAGGGCGGGGCGATATTTCAAAATACATTTGTAACAGTGTGAACATACAGAATTCATAGCAACATTCAATAAAAATATGAAACATGTTAAAGCACAGAGTAAAAATATATTTGTTTTAAAGTTTTTTATACATGTACATAAATTCATAAATTCATACATTAATATTTTGCTTTTTTTTATTTAAAAATAACTATTTTTCTTTAACAAAAGTTCGAGTCCCACCTAAAGGTCTAAGAGGTCTAGCAATCACCTCAAACATGGTTAATTATACTGCACCCCTTATATTCGAGGTGTCTATGGCGAAGATTCCCTATTATTTTGGTTCGTTCTTCTGAGACGGTTTACATCAACACGTTTCAATATGTCTTCCATGTTGATGAGAATTTGTTTTAAAACTTTCTCGAGTTGATCCAAGCGAATGTTCAGACTAATGGAAAAAGCAAGTGCGAAGGGGAAAACACATTATACGTGCTGAATCCAAAAAATATTTGCGATCCTACCGATCTAAATCCTTCTCTCCTACTCCGGGATGATGCTCCGGTATGATGATGCGTGCCCTGCAAACGAATATTGATCAGCGAGGAAGGACTTCCCACAAGAATATCTCTCAGAAGTAAGCTTACTCTGTTACTGCAGTGCTGTCTCCCCAAACCTCAGCCTCTCCCTCTGCGGGTGTCGAATCCTTATCAGCCGCATTATCGGGCTGACGTTGACGCTTCTGACCACAGTGGGTGATCCAGTAAAGAGCTGCAGACAGTTTCTTATAGACATACGATCCCAAAATGCTACGTCCTCTGGTAACATCATCGCTTTTCACCGTCTTATAGGTTCCGATGAGCATAGCAATTACCATGTTCTAGTAAANTGGACCGTTAGGAAGCTCAAGCCATATCTGGAAGGGTATCGCTTCAAAGTGATCACGGATCACATGGCTTTGAAGTGGCTGAATAGCATCGAGAGCCCAACGGGAAGAGTCACGAGATGGAGCCTGGAGCTACAGCAGTACGACTTCGAGGTGACGTACCGGAAGGGGCAGCTGAATGTTGTGGCGGATGCATTGTCTAAGCAGCCCGTGGCCGAGCGATGCCTGCGGATAGAGGATGAAGAAGGCAATAAAGTGGAGCCGGATATCGGCGAAGGGTGCCGATGGATCCGAAAAGTGAAGGAGAGGATGAAGAAGGAACCGGAAAAATTCCCAGATTATGTAGAGGAGGTTGGTGGAATTTACAGAAACATTCCCCACCGAGCCGGAGACGAGGAGGTGGCGGCGTGGAAGCTGTGTGTCCCCACGAGTCTACGGGAACAGGTTCTAAGGGAGAATCCTGACTCCCCAGGGGCTGGGCATTCTGGCGGTCGGAAGAACATGGCACGAATTGCCGCAAGGTATTATTGGCCAGGGATGCACCGGGACGTAAGGGCATACGTGAGGAGGTGCGAAACCTGCCTGCGTTTCAAGCCAAGCCAGATACGGGCAGCTGGGAAAATGTTGACCCAGGTCCCAGAAGAGCCATGGGCAACAGTGTGTGCGGACTTCGTGGGACCTCTGCCGAGATCGAAGCATGGGAACGCAATGCTGTTGGTGTGAGTGGATCGTTTCTCCTCCCTCCTTAGGTGGGAGTCCAGAAATCTGGAATAATACGGACTGCAGCCACATTCGGCAGAGCTAAGTTATTGATAGAACTTGGAACTTGATGAACTTGGATCTGCATATGAATGTATTCAGTCCGTCGAGAAACTTTATTTTGACGAACTCTGCCAGTTTAAGTCGAAGGACGATCAGCAGGACGATCATATCCTAATATCACATTATAATATGGAGCTCGAATTTCATTTAGGATATGGAACGACGCCAGAGTGCTGTGTATAGTCAGGTGTGCTCTGAAAACGACTGAAACATACGTACCTTTCTACCAAGCATCTACGCACTCTGCAGTACGGGTCATCGGTTATCAAATTATTATATATCGGTCGTTCGCTTTCGTAGTGACCAGACGTGTTTTTGTTTTGCGCTCCGTATTTTCCTTTCTATTTTGGATAAACAACCGGGTTTTTTTCGAAATAATTCTTCTTATAATTATTGAATAGCTTGCCACTTTTCTTAACTATCCTAATACGCGAGTGCATACCTATTATTTGTTTAAAATTATAATCGTATTCATTTGTGCGTCGGTTAGTTGTGTGTTTGTGCTTTTTCTTTTTGTAAGTACGCCCTCACTATTAACCGCTCTCTCTTGTAGTTGCGCTTCTGTCTTTCACTCTATAGCTCGAGTAACGGCCTCTCTCGCTCTCAATAATTTCTGTGCAGTAGCGTGCGCTCACTGTTTTAGCTGCCGCTGCGCTTGTCCTTCTCTCCTCTCTGCGCTCATATGTTTTCGATCCCTCTTTTTATGCATTGCTTTAAGCACTTGGTCAGCACACTGGTCCCATTGCTATTTGTTTTGTGAAAATAATTTTTAATTTATTTTTTAAATAAATAGCCCCGCCTGGGGCTCGGATATCCGAACACGGCGAATCTGGAAGAGGCGCTCAGAGAGCGGAGAGCCCAAGATGGCGGCGCAGAAGAGAGTGGAAGGATGGGATCGGGCCGGCAGCGGACCGGCGCATGACCAAATATGGCCATGAGATCGAGGACCCGTTACGAAGATAGGAGAAAGCATCAGAATCACCAATGGAAAAATACTGACCGCGTGGGAGAACCGTTAGCCAGGGCCTATATAAGGAGGGGGTCAGCCAAGGAGCTAAGTCGAGTGTTCGGGAGTATAAGTGAATCGAAGTGCATAATAGCGGAAATCGTAACGGGACCAGCGACATCGAATGCCCAGAGTGAGTCTTGCATAATCAGAGTGAACAGCAGATTTTCGGACGAGGTTAAAGCGGAGAAAGTTGAACCGTTAGAGTGCGGAATTGGTGTGGCCGATTAAGATCAATTGACCCAGTTCAGCGGCACCAACGTGCGACGCCCGGAGCCAACCCTCCGAAATAGGCAGGTCACAAGATAGCGATAATATAGCCATAAGCTAAGCTAAGCTATAGATATTAATATACTGAATAAAACCCCAATTGTCAGAATTAAACTAATCCTGTGTTTTTACTTGGTCGTCGAGGCAACAATACAAACTCGTTGCAACCACCCGATTTCCCGCTGAGTCAGCCCAGCACAGGTCACACGACCGGAAAAAGGTTTTGTTACAATATATTCAAAATAAATAATTAAAATAATGGAATACTTGGTTGTGTGCTCCGCTAAGGCTTGCAAAAAGCAGATCACCCACGACCAGCTGATCATCCCTTGCTGGCTCTGCGATAACGTAGTGCACGCAAAATGTATTGGGTTTTCAGGCCTCGTGGGTGACGCATTTTCAAAGCGTAATTGTCTGCATTACAGTTGCGAGGCATGTCGGTATGTCGAGGATGACATGGTCACGTTTATGAGGCAGACGCGAAAGAGCCTTAAGGAACTGACCGTGGGCTTTAAAAAGCAGTACGATCGGCTTCTAGCCATGGAGTCTCAGTTCAGCAGTTTTAAAGTGCTGAATGAGTCTCCTAGGCGCAAAACAGTCACTCCTCGTGATCTGCAAGTACTGTGGTTGGAGTCCCACCAAAGCGGCAAGTTTTTGTCTCTCGACTTGCCCCTGACCTCACATCTAATGATGTAACTGCTTTTATACAAAGCAAAATAAAAGCCGTTGGCTTAAAGGTGGAGAAGTTTAATTTCTCTTATGCCAGGGAGATATCCTCTTTCAAGATTAGCGTGTCTCCAACTCATTTCGAGACCATTTGCTCTTCCAAATTTTGGCCAGAGCACCTGGTTGTGAAAGAGTTTAAGGCTAAGAAGAAAAATAGGCCCCCCATAACTCTTCCTAGTAGTGAGGCCAGTGGTCCTTCCTCCTCCGCTCCATTATCCTCTTCCCACTGCAATTCCTTGCAGTCAAAAAACTAACATCCCTCTTTGTAGCCTATCAAAATTCCTCTGTGGAATTCCTCTGTGTTAGACTGATTCTTCCCGGCCAGTTTATTTATGTCACTTTCTCGTATATTCCACAGACTTCGGATGTACTAATATACGAGCAGCATTTTGTCTGCCTTAAAAACTGTTTCTTCCTCGCTATCTGATAAAGACCATTTAATAGTTTTTGGGGATTTCAACCTGCCAGGTACTGTCTGGTCTTCGGTTAACGAGGCAAACAACCTTGTGCGCATGTCACGACATGAGTTTATTGATGGCTTATTAGACCTGTCCCCGTCTCAAGTCAACCATGTAAAAAACTCCTTGGGTCGATTGCTTGATCTGTGCTTTGTCTCGGATCCGACCGTAGCGTTGTTAACACGAGCACTCCCGATCACCATACCTGAAGACTGCTATCATCCTACTTTCGAATTGTCGATAGATATTGGACCTACTGTATCGGATCGTGCGTGTAGGCTATCTGAACGCGTCCGCTGCTTTCGTAAAGCCGAGTTTACGAAGCTCAATAACTTAATTAGAAATTTTGATTGGTCCGCTCTGTACTCGTGCACTGATGACGTCATTGAAGGCACAAACATTTTTTACAATGTACTTGACACAATTTTTGACACGTGTGTCCCACTTTCATGTCCGACTTGATCTGCGAAACCTCCTTGGTTCACCAAAGAGTTATCCAGTCTAAAGAACCTAAAATCAAGACTATTTAAAAAATCTCAAGAAGTTGGTTCTCCCTCTTCTCTTTCTAATTACTTAATAGCTCGGTCAAATTTCACTGTTCTAAATGCTGAATGCTATAGAAACTACCTCCTTCGATGCAGGATACATTTTTCACAGGACCCTAAACAGTTTTACAGCTTTGTAAACAGTAAGCGTAGAACGTCCGCACATCCATCCTCGCTATAAATTTTGAATATGTCGGCAAACAATGATCAGGCAATCGCCGATCTTTTTGCACAATTGTTTCAAACCACCTATTCCCAGGAAAGCTACCCAGGTCATATGTATCCATATAGTTTACCAAGGTCGAATGGCATTTTCTGCCCTTTGCTTAATGAAGGCTCCTTGCTTCATGAACTTCAATTAGTTAAGCCGGTATTTTTACCACGGCGACGATCAACAACCACTAATCCTTTAGAGTTCACCTCCTTTGTCACTAAGGGATTCCAAGGTAACTTGCAGACAGATGTTATTCACACTGACTTCAGTAAGGCATTCGATTCTGTAAACCATTCTCTTCTTGCACAAAAGCAGGACCTTCTAGGGTTTCCGCCCAATCTGTTGAGATGGATTTGTAGCTACCTGTGTTCTAGGTCTCAAAGAGCCCTGTTATGGTTACTTCTGGGGTACCACAGGGTAGCCATTTGGGCCCCTTACTTTTCACACTCTTTATTAATGACCTGGCTTCTGTATTAACAAATTCTCGAGTACTTATGTATGCGGATGATGTTAAACTCTGTGTAATAGCTTTCAGTAATGGTGCTGTGCAAATATGTTACAAATTAATGCCTTGAAGCGCAATGTAATGACTTCTTATCGCTCCAGCCCCTTCCTGGCTCCTTACAACCTCTGCGGTAGTTCTCTTGAGAGAATTACATTGGTTGATGATCTAGGTGTTAAACTAGACCCCAAGTTAAAGTTTTCTGAACACATTTCTACCATGGTAAATAAAGCCATGGGTGTGCTTAGGTTTATAAAGAGGTGGTCAAAGGAATTTGATGACCCCTATATAACGAAGACTCTCTATATTTCGCTTGTTCGTCCGATTTTAGAATACGGCCCATGTGTATGGTGCCCTCAGTACAACATACATCAGGACCGTATTGAATCAGTACAGAAAAACTTATTATTATTTGGCATACGGGGCCTCAACTGGGATGCAACTGTGAGACTGCCATCCTACCGTAGTAGACTTCTTTTAATAAATCTTCCATCCTTAGTTAGTCGTAGAAAAATGCTTGGTGTAATTTTTATGCACAACTTGATCAAGGGGGATGTAGACAGCCCTGACTTGCTGAGCCGCATAAACTTTACGATTCCCATTAGACCGACTAGAAACTTTATTCCTTTGTTCCTTCCACTATGTAGATCGAATTATGCCTCACACGAAGCTTTTAGGGTTTTATGCTCGGATTATAATTCCCTCTACCACATTATATCCTCAACTAACTCCCTTCCTCTTCTTAAATCTTTTATACTAGCCTACCTCTCCCGTAGTTTCATTTTAGTTTCGTTTTGTTTCTGATTTTGGTAATATTTGCTTGCTTAGCTATAGTAGCTCTAGTCTAGTTATGTTTAGCTCTAATTTTCCTCGAATATTAGCCTAACATCTATCTTTCCGGCAGCGCCCCTCGGTCGGTTGTGCGGCAGGAGGGCTGCGTTCTGCTGGGTTCCGCGCGTAACAGGCTTTGGCTTGTTGTCGCAATGGCCACTTGATGGTGCAGTCATTGCATATCAACGTCCAGTAGGAACGTGAGACGCTTCGGACACGTCATAACTTTTTTACCCGGTACTTAGTCAGGATATATGTATGTATGTATGTAAATATCCATGTATGTAACCTTATAAGGTTACGGACTTCAAAATGAGTGAAAACTAGACAATGCTATTTTGTGAGTCCACTTACGGACATTGAGCGAGGCTTCAGTAATCGCTCACGGATTTGTATCATTTGTAAGACCGTTTTTGGACGTTCGAAACGTTCGGACTGAACTATGCAGTTATCAGCATTTCATGTGTTCGTAGGTTTTCTAGCTTTAAATGGGAATACTGTGGATTCATGCAGGGCTCCCAAAGGTAAAATATACTAGTACTTAAGCGACGAGGATCGGAAATGGCCAGAATGCCAGCTCAGCCCGGACATGGAAAAGGACAAGGAGGAGAATGGTAAAGCGGACCTATCTTGTGGTTGATATGGGTACGATATCGAAAGCATGAGTTACGCAAAACCACTAGTTATACAGGCCCCCGGTCCCAATGACCACTTTCGTTTTCCTATATTAATAACTTGCGAAGAAATAAGATTTCTTGATTTAGTCTTTTGATATGATTTAGGAATAGCAAAATAAAGGTATTTTGCAAATATGGGCCTGCTCCTTTTTATACCCGGTACTCGAAGAGTAACTAGGGTATATTGTATTTGTGCGAATAACGGTTGTATGTAACACACAGAATGAAACGTTTCGGACCCCATAAAGTATATATATTCTTGATCAGCATCAATAGCCGAGTCGATTGAGCGTCCGTCCTTCCTTATGAGCGCCTGGATCTCAGAGACTATAAAAGCTAGACCCACCAAATGTTGCATCCAGACTTCTGTATGCTCATACTGTTACAAGTGTAATTAAAAAATTAGCCCCGCCCCCTTCCGCCCCGGCAAAACTCGAAAAATCTGCGGTATTCACAATTTTAAAACAATTTTATTACGAGAAAACTAAAAACGAAATTCTGTAGGGAGTGACCATATCTATCAGATCACCGAATTCGGATCAGATTGGATCATTATTAAAGCCAGAATATAGCCGCGTCCAGCAGCTTCTTTTTTTTCACATTTTGTCATCCACACCCTGCCTCTGCCTCTGCAGTGCCTCTTCAGTGTGCGGCTCTAGGGGAGGAGCCGAGCTAGAAGAGCGTGTTGTCGTGAGAAGTGATGTAGATGTTGATGACAGATGAAGAAAATATGTAAAATTCACAAAACACCGCTAAAGTGCAGATGTAGTACTGAGTGCCGGGTATACAAGTTGTGACGCGTAAGAAGCGTCTCACACGTCCCTTCTCGATTTTTACTTATGTATATCTTTTAGAAACATCTACGGAATTGCGTTTTTAGATTTCTCTTATCTTTAAAAGTTATGATAAAGCAGATTTTCGCCTATTGTGGGGGCGGTAGAGGGCGGGGCGATATTTCAAAATACATTTGTAACAGTGTGAACATACAGAATTCATAGCAACATTCAATAAAAATATGAAACATGTTAAAGCACAGAGTAAAAATATATTTGTTTTAAAGTTTTGTATATATGTACATAAAATCATAAATTCATACATTAATATTTTACTTTTTTTTATTTAAAAATAACTATTTTTCTTTAACAAAACTTCGAGTAAAGGTCTAAGATGTCTAGCAATCACCTCAAACATGGTTAATTATACTGCACCCCTTATATTCGAGGTGTCTATGGCGAAGATTCCCTATTATTTTGGTTCGTTCTTCTGTGACGGTTTACATCAATACGTTTCAATATGTCTTCCATGTTGATGAGAATTTGTTTTAAAACTTTCTCGAGTTGATCCAAGCGAATGTTCAGACTAATGGATAAAGCAAGTGCGAAGGGGAAAACACATTATACGTGCTGAATCCAAAAAATATTTGCGATCCTACCGATCTAAATCCTTCTCTCCTACTCCGGGATGATGCTCCGGTATGATGATGCGTGCCCTGCAAACGAATATTGATCAGCGAGGAAGGACTTCCCACAAGAATATCTCTCAGAAGTAAGCTTACTCTGTTACTGCAGTGCTGTCTCCCCAAACCTCAGCCTCTCCTTCTGCGGGTGTCGAATCCTTATCAGCCGCATTATCGGGCTGACGTTGACGCTTCTGACCACAGTGGGTGATCCAGTAAAGAGCTGCAGACAGTTTCTTATAGACATACGATCCCAAAATGCTACGTCCTCTGGTAACATCATCGCTTTTCACCGTCTTATAGGTTCCGATGAGCATAGCAATTACCATGTTCTAGTAAAATAAAACAGTAGCAGAGTACTTCCCTTAAAAGCTCAATCCTACCAATAATATGAAAACCACAATGACAATGTAGGATACAAAGAAGATGGGACCCAATATCCGGTTGGCTTGTCCCATGAGCTTGTACTGAAAATCGCCCAGTATCATACGTATCATGGTGAAGAAGGATGTGAGATGGTTTCGGAAATCTGGGTGCTCAGTCCCAAAAAGCAGGAGACCCACTTGGGCATACGTCATGCACACAATGCCAAATATAAGACTGAAGCCAGGCAAGTCCCTTGAGCTCTACATATGTACAAAGATTTCTCAAAGAAAACTCAATAGTCTACTGTGCCGGTGCTAAATACCCTCTGTACTGTAGCTGTGAACTGAAACAGTGACTTATTAAATGTGATGAACTTAAATATCTTGATCCAAACGAGGCAGTCCAGAACAGCCATAATCTTGCCGTAGATGGTGTTGCACAGGCAGAGAACATCGAGACTTAAATAGCCTTGGCTCACCTGGGCCTTGGATATTATAGACTTCACCTCGAAAGTGTGCCATACGTTGTAAATGACATCCAAGTAACATATCTGGGAAACTTTGTGCTAAAATGGGACAGTGTAAAAATGGACAATACTCACCAATAAGACACTGGCGTCGATAAGGTGCAGCACGGAATTTAAGTAGACTTTGCAGGTGGACTGGCCCAAGTGTGTGATGAAAACGAAGGTGTAGTAGAAGACCATAATGTACCAGAATATGTGAACAACAATCATGGTCACACTGTGGTCGGAGAAGAAGGAATATTTCTTAACCGTTTGAAAGTGTAAGCGCGGCATGGCCCCCCCCAGTTGGAAGAAGCTCAGCTATAAGTCTAGAAGGTTGAAAATAGCTAGGCTNTTGCCGTAGATGGTGTTGCACAGGCAGAGAACATCGAGACTTAAATAGCCTTGGCTCACCTGGGCCTTGGATATTATAGACTTCACCTCGAAAGTGTGCCATACGTTGTAAATGACATCCAAGTAACATATCTGGGAAACTTTGTGCTAAAATGGGACAGTGTAAAAATGGACAATACTCACCAATAAGACACTGGCGTCGATAAGGTGCAGCACGGAATTTAAGTAGACTTTGCAGGTGGACTGGCCCAAGTGTGTGATGAAAACGAAGGTGTAGTAGAAGACCATAATGTACCAGAATATGTGAACAACAATCATGGTCACACTGTGGTCGGAGAAGAAGGAATATTTCTTAACCGTTTGAAAGTGTAAGCGCGGCATGGCCCCCCCAGTTGGAAGAAGCTCAGCTATAAGTCTAGAAGGTTGAAAATAGCTAGGCTCAGAACCCAGTCGGACGAGTGTTTGGTCAGGAATAGACTCTTACTTGACGCTCTGGAATATACCCATATTCTCGTTGTGCAGATTGAACTCTACCAAACACAGCCTCGAGCCTCGATCGAGCCAATGGTCATGCTTAAGTTCATTGAGCGCTTTAAGATTCTCATTTTTGTCGTAGGTAAGATCTATGGAGTATCCACCGCAAGCATACACGTTCAGAAGAGTCCAGATCGGTGTGGCGTCCAGTTCACGCATAGTTCGATAGGGCGTGCCCTTGTGCTGTCTGCTGTTGTCCGCCACCGCGTTCGTAAACTCGGAGTAGCAAGAGCTGAAGAATTGGACAAAGGCCTTGTTCATGTGGCAGGTCCCCTTGCGGACGCGTACCTGGCGGAGGCGCGGAGGCCCGAGCATGAGGTTTTCGTGCAGCAGCACACGGTGCGGTCCGGGCTCTCTGATGTTAATGTCTTCAGCGCCGCAAGCCTGCCCCCTGCCGACATCTACGGGACTCGAATTCATGTCAGTGCCATCGGAGTTGTCTTTCTCGAACTTGCCTTCAGATTGTTCGCCTGCTCTGCCCTGTCTGACCCTTCTACGGCGGTCGTCATTGTTAGCTAATTGAGCTGTGAAATTAGCAGTTGGACACACAGATGTGCCAGCGGTCATTATGGTCATGCTTTCGCGTAGCGTGATAACGAAGTTGTACTCCAAGTAGTCCCACCAGTCCTGGATGGTAAGCATCTTTCTGAAGGAAGTCGTCACCGATGGAGCCAGGAACATTTCGCGAAATCTAAACAGTTTTGTCATCTTTTCATTGAAGTGAAAAGAATGCTGGTGACGCACAGACACAGTTACTAGAATATACAATTAATAGTTTACGATCAATGAATAATCAAATGCTCAGGTGATTTCGATAGTTTTTATGACTTTAAGGGGAACTGCCTCTCCTATTTGAATGAGGCAATGCAGATAAAGTCTTTGAACCTCTAAGTACCTCCCACACAATAAGAGTATCCAAAGAATTAAAATATGGATTTTAATCCCACTCCCCCTGTTAGATTTGCCTTTAAATTCCGCTTTTTTCCTTTTCCTTTTCCTTTTACCAGTGGGGAAGCCTCATCTAAGGCAGGCTTCTTCATGAGGGCGGACGGGCTGTCATGAATATGTATGTACATACATATGTATGTACAAACATCGAGTAGCACAAACAGATACTCTAAAAATTTTACCTTATCCCTGTCTATATGTCTGCTATGAAACATAAAATAAAAATGCAATCATAAACCAATCGATATATAAATCTCTAGGTATCTAGTAATAAACGAGAAGGGACGTGTGAGACGCTTCTTACGCGTCACAAATTTTATACCCGGCACTCATTACTAACATCTGCACCTTATCTTCTTCATCTGCATCAACAACACTACTCACGCCAACACGCTCCTTTAGCTCGCCACCCTCCCCTAGAGCCACACACTGCAGAGTCAGGGCAGAGACGCGGCAGAGGCAGAGACGTGTCGGCGCAAAGCAGAGTGTGAATGAGAAAATGTGCAAAAAGAAATTTAAGCTGCGGGACGTGGTGGGTTTAGCCACTGGAAATTAATTTATTCATTGTGGCTATAATAATGATCCAATCGGATCCCAATTTGGTAATCTCATAGATATGGTCATTCCCTACGGAATGGCGTTTTCTTCTATCTTCAAAACTTTAGGTTTGGGATGTTTTCGCCCTTTTGCATAGGCGGAAGGGGGAGGGGCTAATTTTTAAAATACACTGGATTCAGTGTGAGCATACAGCAGTCCGGAGCCAAAATTTGGTGGCTCTAGCTCTTATAGTCTCTGAGAACTAGTCGACAAACAAGACGGATGGACTGACAGACGGACAGACAGACATGGCTCTATCGACTCGGCTATTGATGCTGATCAAGAATATATATACATTATGGGGTCGGAAACGTTTCCTTCTCTGCGTATCTTTGTGCACAAATACATTATACCATATTGACTCTTCGAGTACCGGGTATAATAAGTCAGTTTGGTTCGAAGCGTGATATCAGTGTTGTTATTTATCAGTAGTGTTATCAGAATGCCTATCGGAATGGAAGATCCTCCGAAATGGATTTCACAATGACAGCCTTCCTTCCTCCACTCCCGGACGGTGAGTCTAATCGATCAGATGCTTCAATGGAGTCAGTCAACATCCACCAGGTTGTTTATCAAAACAAGCTCAGCCGTGTACAGCATATGGCAGAGCTTTCTATAACTGGTGGCCTACGCACTACTTCAGGCGAAGCGCTTGACACCCCCTAGAACTTATGGGTAAAAGGGTTGTTACACTCTCCGCTCTCAGGATGCGAGAAACTAAGCTGTGGGAAAAATCCACGGTTGGGCACTCGGGGATCCTGGCGAAGACCCCAGAACTTCCAGAGATGACGGACTCCTGCATTCCGTTGAATTACCTCTTTATGCCTTTCCAGGTATCCATCCCACTTAGGGAGGACTGGGAGAGGGGCGAACCGGTTCTCAAAATTAGTCGGCCGCGTGGGTGTGTGCGTCTACTGCTATGAGCCGAATATCAGTCATAGGCACAATAGCGTGTTCCAAGCGGAAGTCTTGGCGATAAAAGAGGCCATCTCTATGGTCTCCCAACTTTTCCTAGACAGAAACTCCGTGTGTGTCCAAATTCGTCCAGTAAGACCTCTTCCTAATCCTAATCCCATAAATGTGACGAACTAGCCAGGCAGGGCACTACTTTGCCTCTCCTACCGGATAGAGACCAATTAGCTATGCCCTTGGCAACGTGCAGGCTCCATACGCACGGTCTATATGACCATGCCGATCGAAAAACAGGCTTAGCAGAGTACAGGGCTATGCCGTCTCACCCGTGCCATCACGGGAAGCCGACAGATTGCCACACACGCCTCTAGACTGTCAACTTCTGTAGATTTGTCGAGACGAGGAAGAGAAGGAGTTGGTCCACCACTTCTTCTGTCACTGTACAATTTTTTAAATACACTTGTATCCAGAGCTCGCAAAAACGGTCCCCTTTTACTTGTAGTCATATAAAAATCTGTTGCCTGCGACCATCGGACGCATCGGCTACTCAAGGTACCTTAAAATAGCGCTACCTCTAAAAAAACGTTACAAAAAAATAACAGACTTTTAAAATTCTTTAAATAAAAGTTCTGCTATAGAAAAAAAACCATAATTCTTTAAAAAAGTGTGAGGCTTTTGAGAAGAAGTCGCTTTGGTTCGAAACGGAAAAAAAAAGTTGGATTTTGTCGAGTGCACTATGGGTAAAAAGACCGTTTTTTTTGGCATTAGCCAAACCAAAAGAGCTAGAGCTCTACAGATTGGCATGAATGTTCGTTAGACTAAAGTAGAATTTCGGAAACAAAATGAATTCATTTGGACTCCGCCTACCTCCATACGAACTGGAACCCATTTACGTCGTATTTATTATAAAAAAAGGTATTCATAAGATTAATTATGATAAAAGATCCTTTAATACATTTTAGAACTTTTCAAAAATATTTATTTGATTGACTGATTGAATGATTGTTTGGTTACAAGTAATTTGATTGGAATCGCTTCAACGTCCAATTTAATTTGGCTTAGTACTTGTTTAACTAAGCAATAAATTGGATAATTTTCGATTGAATTGTAATATTTTCATCTTTAGTTAGTCAGTTTTTGTCAATACTCTTTAAACTATAACATTCTATTGCGTCTGCTTCACGATTGTTGTTGGTCCAGTCCTCCAGCAGCGCTGCATGAGTGAACTCATAAATATCTGAGAAATTTAAAATTTTTCGAAAAGGGGCAAAAACGGGCAATAAGCATTAACACCACATGATTCTATAATATTTGGTTAATAACATGTAACTTGAACCTCTGTTCAGTGGTGTGCTGTGCAAAAGTAATGTTCCACAGAAAACAGGTGCAATTGTTAGTACCAAGCTAAAAAGACACACTAACAAAACATTGGATAATTAAATAACAACACATAACTATAAAAAAAACATGTATTAGCAATGAGTTTAAATATCTCGACCTATTATATTCATATTTTTACTTGTATATAAACTTTGTTATCAGGGCTTTTTATCCATAGTGGAGTGGTGTAATTTATAGAAATACGTAAACTCGGCTTTACGAAAGCAGCGGACGCGTTCAAATAGTCTACCTCCCGATCCGATACGGTAGGTCCTATATCTACTGGCACTTCGAAAGTAGGATGATAGGAGTCTTCAGGTATAGTGAGCGGAAGTGCTCGTGTTAATAACGCCTCGGTCAGATCCGAGGCAAAGCGCAGATCAAGCAATCGACCCAAGGAGTTTTGTACATGGTTGACTTGAGACAGGAACAGGTCTAGAAAAATCCACAAACTAAGTCATGTCATGACTCGTTAACCGAAGAGCAAACAGAACCTTGCAGGTTGAAATCCCGAAGAACTATTAAATGGTCTTTATTAGATAGCGAGGAAGAACCCGTTTTTGAGGCTGAGAAGTGCTGCTTGAATATTAAGACATGCGAATTCGGCGGAAGAATCAGTCCGACACAGAGGAATTCCAGGTCTTGTGAAACCTGGACTGTGAAAAGCTCCGACGTGAAGAGAGATTCAACTGCAATCAGAACCCCTCCTACATGTCGAGACGAACGATTATTCCTACAAATTGTGTACCGATCTGCCAAAACTTCCGAACTGAGAATGTTCGGCTTTAACCAGGTTTCGGTAAAAGAATAATGTGTGACCAAGATGTAAAGCTATCTATAAAAAGTATGCTGAGCTCACCAAGTCAGACTATGAAGGAAGTCTGTTTTTTGAGTGGGAGGAATTGAAGTGGGATGAGGTGGTTGGAGCAGATAAGGAAGGAATGCCCCAAATCGAACAGAAACAGTCATGTTCGTTCCTTGAGAAAACGAGCAGTGTAATTGACCGTATTAAATTTAGTCTCACATCAGAGGGTTTTTACAACGTTTATTACTGCTTAAGTTAGTTGTTTAAAGGCCCATTTTGGAGAAAGCATCGGCAGCAGCCAGGCCCATTTCGTGCTCGCTGGACCCCTCCGGTTCCAATAGCAGGATGTCGCGGCTGTTCTGCAGCAGCTTGGCTACCTCCTTGACCCTGCGTTGAAAGTCCGGCCGCGAGATCTGACCACTCTGCAGGCCCATCTGCGCCAATACCATTACCGGGGCGTGTAGCTCGTACATGATGAGTCCTGAATCAACCAGAGTGAGGACTTCAAAAGGGAACAGAGGGCTTGTAGAAACTCACCTCTAAGGCGGGTCAGACCTGGCTCCAGCAAGTCGATTATGGCCAGGAACTCCCGGCAGTAGCGCTCCTTGCGAACTATGTCCTGGTGGGACATTTCGGGCAGAAGGTAGCCCTTAATGCGACCGTAGATCTGGCACAGAGAGAACTTGGCCGAGAGCAGAAGGTAGTGGTTGGGGCGCAGAGTTTTCCGGTAGCTACTCAAAAATTATTGATGAAGGATTCCATGATGGAATCTGATAAGATCTGATACGCACCGTACGAGGAAGTTCTCCAGTCCGGGTATGTCGTGAACGTCGATGGCCTCCAGATCGTTGTTGATGTGGTCCATTTGGCGCTCCAGGTCGAGGACCTTCGTTTGGTGGTCGCAGCGATCGCAGCTGCCCGGATATTAGGTTTGTTAGCCCCGGAGTTTAACCCACGAAGAGCCCCTTTACTCACGCCCAGTCGGCAGTCTGCTCCAGGGGCGCGACCGCGCGGACCGTGCCCTGCTGGCAGGCGCGGCATACAATCGCACTGCAGTCACTTCCGAGCTCCTGCGGGTCGGCGCAGCGACGGCAGCGGCACCAGAACAGCTTGCCCTCGTACATAAACGAGCGTC